GAAACCATAAGCTGTTCTATATTCAGTTTTTATAATTATACTTATAAAGGTATAAAATATGCAATCATGTAAATAATGAAATCATTAACATTTGTTGACTATAGAGACATTAAACACACTAAAACACTGAAATTCTGGAAATGCAATAGAGCCACACTCTGCAAAAGCTTTTAATATCTTCAAATAATTTCAGTTTTACTTTTGAGTCAGAACTGCCTTCCTGCCACTTTCCAGTGTGTAAAAATTTAACATTTGCACTATCATCTCTTCTCTGCCTATTTTCTAATTGCTTGTCAGGCAGAAAGTTGTCTCTGAAGTATTGTCCTCTTCATGACAGACAGAGACATTTCCACAGGATCTGCCAAAGATGAGATTATGCTGTAATTTCCTCAAACAGCTGTGTCTGCTTCATTATGAATAGAAGCTGTTGGGGACTGTATCCAAACCTTAGTTCTCACCCTTCCAAATCACATTAACAAAATTATCACATGCCTGGGTGAGCACTTTTCCATCACGTTTAATTAATTCCAATTGTACATTACCCACTCCAAAAGGTTTATTGCTTTTTTTTTTTAATAATATCCTAGTATCAGCTTTCAGCTTCTGTCACCATTAGAAACAGTTCTTCATGAAGATTTGGGCTTCCCAAGGAGATATTCCCACCTCCTTTCCTTCCAACGCTGTGTTTGTTTCATCTGTGGGCTCAGCTCTTGGCAGTGTGCAGTGCTGGCACTGGGTGTGGTGGTATCTTGTCTCCCAGAGAGAGCCCCAGCAAGGCTCTGCCTGGTTTGCCAGTTCTCCCCAGTGGCATTTCTTGGGACAATTATGCATATCAGGAGGCATCTGTTCATGCCAGTTTTCTGTAGTAACTGTAAAAACTGCATCTGTTTCCCACCTCATGCAAATATATCCCTCATCTTCTTTCATCCATCTCCCTGCATCACTGTGCTGGTCAGACAACAGGAGTGTCTTTCTCCTGGGCCAAGATTTCTTCCTGAGGGTCTTTTTCTGCAGGAGTTCATCTGTGGGTGTTGAAATGCACCCAAGACTCTCATCCTTTGGATGTGTGCTGCTTGTGCAGAGGGCAGCAGAGCTGGAGTTTGTGCTCACCCCTTGTCCAGGATGTTCCAGGCATTTAAGAACTTGGAGCTTTTGGTCATGACAGCCTCTGAGTGAATGGGCTGGAGATTTCTCACTTTGTGCTTTGAACAGAGTTGTGATCAAGCAGTCGTAGCTGCCTTCTATGAGGACAAACACCCCATCAGACCTTCTGACTCCTCTCTGAGTCACTGCCAGGTGGGCTGGTGCACAGGTTCCCCCTATGTATCATAGAATCATAGAGTGGTTGGGTTGAACAAGGCCTTAAAGATTTTCTAGTTCCAACTCCCTGCCATGGACAGGAACTCTTTCCACTAAATCAGGTTCTTCAAAGCCCTGTCCAACCTGGCCTTGCACACTTCCAAGGATGAAGCATCCACAATTTCTCTGGGCAACCTATTCCAGTGCCTCACCACTCTCACAGTAAAGAATTTCTTCCTAATATCTGATCTAAATCTCTCTTCTTTTAGTTTAAGACTATTTCTCCTTGTCCTATGAATATCTGCTCATGGAAAAAGTCATTCCCCCTCCTTTTTGTAAACCCCCTTTTAGTTCTAAAAGGCTGCAATGAGGTTCACCTCTCTACTCCAGGTGAACAACCTGCTTCTATAATCCTATTTTTTGGGCAGCACGACCCAGTAGCCCATTGGGCTGAGAGCATTTACCTTGCAGGAGTGGGCAGCTTATGGAGGATGCTGGCCCAGGGCTGACTTTTTGCAGACTGCTGGCTCTGCCCCAGCAATTAAAAAACCCATTGTTTTTTGTTGTTTGGGTTTAGTTTGGTTTGTTTTACGGTAGTAGCAAGAGGCATCAGTTCAGTGGCAGATGGTTAATGAAGTGTTCAGGTGTTTCTCATACACATTGTACTGAAGGAGCAGTCAGTCTAAGCCATGAACAGTGTTACTAGAACACCCAGATGTTTTTAATGTACCTTGCTGTAAAAATTCTGGTTTTAGACTCTCAGTACTGGGGTGGGTAAGCAGCCGTAACAGCCTTCATTAGGAAATTTTTAAAAAGAAGGTAAAATTCTCAACATGTTTCAGGTTTTATTTCTTTATTTCCATTTTTATTTGTACACGTGTTTTAATAATTCCCTTGCATATTTCATAATTATTGCTGTTCTATTTTTGTGACAAATTGAAAACATAACAAACAACCAATTGTCTGGAATTCTTCAGCATTTTTCTTTTTTCAATTCCTATTGAGGATAATAATATTTCTACACTGCTTGATTAACCAAAAAAAGCACCTCTGTTATTATTCAGAAGCAGTCTGCTGCTTTCTTTTTCCAGACAGTTTTATTTTACAAACTGGAGCTCTGCTGATGCAGTCCCTGCTGCATGTCCTGGGGCAAAAACCATCCAGCTCAGCTTCTCCTTCTTCCTGATGTCTCCAGAGGTTAGGGTGAGACCTGCTGGCCAAATGTAACTTGGAGAGTAGTGGAGGAACTGCAATATCAGATGGGAAGAAACTCTTGTAGGCTTCTTTCCTAGATCATCATTAAATGGGCTCAGGTTTAAAATAGAGTCTCATAAGAGATAAACATCTTAGAAGGAACCTGACACTGCTGGAGTTAAACAGAAGTATTTAATTGTGTTTCTGGCTCCTTGAACTTTTCTTCTCCCTGTGGGATTCATAGCTAAACATAGTCTGGTGGATATAATTTTGTTTTGCTGTCTAGCATGTTCACATCAGTTTGTGATGGGTTTTTGTTTTGTTTTCACAAATACAGTTATTGCATCTTGCCAAGATGCTGTGACATGGAGAGCTATGACTTCATTTTCTACTCCCAGTGGTTCAGAGGGGATATTTTTACATTATACAGTATAAAGAAAATTTTATCCATAGAAATCCTTACATATACCAAGTGTAGTCTTTAAGATGGCAGATATATTTCTTGTCCAGAGTCCCTAGTGATATGCTGCTAAGTGATGTAGTGTTGTCTTTGTTAGGCTTGGGACTCCTCTTACTCCCTTCTCCTGTGCTGAGAAGGGCATCTGAAGAGTAAGGAAGTTCATATCCCTCTCATCCCAGAGCATTCCTCCACAGCAGAGAGTGACTTCAGATGTGTGTATGTCAGCCAATATCAATCAAGAGATATGAGTAATAAAAAATAGAGGAAGAGCCAGCAGAACCCAGACACAGCTGAGTCTTTTCATCTCACTGACTCCAAAGAGCATAGTGAAGTTGAGCCTGGACAGTGCCATTTAAAATAAACTATCTTGCAGAAAATCCAAGCCAAAGCTTCTTAAATAGCAGCTATTTACAGAAGAACGATCAAATCTAAGGTCCCAAATGTAACACTAAACCATGTATCCTACTTCCAGATGGGCTTATCACAATATGTTCAATCCATTAACTGAACCAAGCTCCAAAGTTTGTGTTCCTTAACAGGGAAATAGATTATATTTTTATATTAATTAAGTAGGAGTCCTGTATGTTCTATGGCAGAATGGAACCTTGTATTATTTACAATCAGAGAATCATTTTTCTGTGTAGTTATTGTAATGGTAGTCATAAAACACGTTACAAAGTCAAGCAGGCAATATTCTGCAAAAAAAAGAAAACATCTTTGGGTAATTGTATGGATGTCAGTTGTAAGAATGTAATGGGTTCTTCAAGTCTTTGATATCCCTAATCTGAGACTGGATCTCATGAGAAGAGATGAAATTGGAATGTTGGGTGCATAGAGTCCATATTGTCAGTTTTAAGGGGTTAGTCTCAACTGGCAGCCTACTGAGGTTGAGCAGTGCCCCGTGTTTGAGAGGAGCCAGGGCCGACCTTCATGTAAATAAATTTGTACTAGCTGCATTAAGCCAGAGTACTCGGTCTGGTCTCTGAAGCACACCAGCATGGCCTCTCTACACACTGTGTGTGAAGATGCTCTCAGTGAACACAGGAACCCAGAATGGCACCCAGGTACTCTAGACAGAGCACTGGACTTACTCAGCACTTCTAATTAGTGCCCCTGTGAGCCCCTGGCTAGAAACCCAGCACAGCTGGGAGTATCACAAATGCTTTGAATTCCAGCTTCTGGGAATTGTGGAGCATGCTTCAATTTCCAGTGTCCATGTTTCTTTATGATGAAGGGTATGAACACACAGGGTACAAGAAACAGAGAGTAAATTTAGGCATGGAAAATAGACAGAAATCTCACCTTCATCTTGTTGGAAGTGATAGAGGACAAAATCTGGGCTCCCGAAGCCACACGTGTGAGGGAGACAGAAGGACATGTGCTGTATTTGGATCGGTATATCATCCTCTCTCTGTACTTAAAAATACACACATTCATCTGTCTCAGAAAAAATACTTTTTTTACTTTGCAGGCTTCCAGCCACAGCTTTTGCTTTCTTGGAGTCTATAGATCTGGCTAAGAAATGTCAAAGGAGATGGGGTGTTAGCACAAGAATGGCAGTGATTTCTACAAGGCAAGAAGAGAAACCCATAAACAACTTCTGTGGACCTAGAATTTTATTATTTATGGCTAATCTATACAGTGATGCTTTAAATGCTTCAGTAGCCACTCTTGATGTAATAAGTGTTGAAGCAATATGTGAATGTTTAGACCCTCAAGACTAGATCCCACCCTTACCTGGCTATTTTTGTCTTTTTCCAGTTGTAAACCTGTGTGTCTTATAAACAGTAACAACCACTCTTCTAACAAGGACAGTTTTTGCTGTGTAACTTCTTGAGTCAGAGATCTGTGCTACACTAAGAACCTTTGCTGGGAGCAAAGCTGTGACTGAAACAGCATTTAAAGTCTTTGAAAACACTCTGTGCTGGGGTTACACCTGGGACTGCTGTTGATTTTAACTTTGGTTTAGTTAGCATGATTTCTGACATCACTGTAATGTTATCTGGGTTTTTTGTTTTATTTGTATTTGGGTTTTTTTTCCCCCTAGGTTGGCTGGATTAACTGGCTCTCATTCAGAGGGAACTTGGCAGATCTATTTTGCTTTTGTTGAACCTCTCTACAGCACATCATAAAGATTTCCTAGGTCCAGAAGCTGCAGAAGAGACATCAGACAACTGAGCAGCAGAAAAATGTGACTCTGAGAAGAGACTTCAAGCCTTCTGATGATGAATTTTCTACTGATCAGTTCTAATTTAAATATATAACTGAAGCATGCATAAAAGTTAACCTGATAGGGAAAAACACCTTCTCATTAATTAGAACTGCCAAAACCAAAAAGCAGTCACCTGAAGCTTCAAAATGAGTGCCCCACTAGTTCCAAGCAAGTCATGTTATTCCCAGCTTCAGGACAACCGCAGTGAAATAAGAAACAATAATGAAAGCATAGTGAGTGTTGGGGATACCAATGCCAACCAAATTGTAACAAAAGTTAGAACCACTGACGGGGATGTTAAGAAACATGATTTGACAGATGAGAGTGGGAATATATACTCTGGAGGAACAGAGAAGGTGACTCATCTGCCTACAGACCAGAATAAACTTCTGACCTTCAAAGACTCTCGAACCTGTCACACCAGTGCACAGGAAAGTAAGCTGCCCTCTACCACAGGCAGGGAAATGGGGAAAGATTGTAGGACCAGTGAAGCTAAGGATATATCAAGGCATATCAGGATTAGCCGAGGACAAAGTCTGTCCAATTTAAAAAGTAGCACAAATGATGCCAGCCTGGAGGTTGTCTCCAAAGGTGATATTGACTTCACCCAGAACTTTCCTAAGGGAAAAATGTCCAGGACTGTGGAGGTGGAGAGAATAAAAAGGCTTTCTTTGGGAAGACCAAGTAAATTTTCTCCTCAGCCTGAAACATTTGTAAAAGACGGCGTTGGCCGCGTGTCGTGTAAACGTCTGCTCTCTGCATCATTGGACTCCATCGACAGGTCTCACCACTTGGTAGGAAGTACAGAGAAATCCCAAAAAACATCCACGGATCATTTCCTTGGGATGGTGTTTTGTCCACTTGACAATACCTCAGAGGAAAATACTGTATTTTATTCCAAACCATCTACCTCAGGGAACAAGAAAACAAGTAAAGCAGAAAATGTACCAAATGTTAGCATTGAAAGCACACTGCATACTTCTCATTCTCAACATTCAGCTGTTAAGCTCAATGAGGTTGCTAGTAAATCAGAAGCACAATTAGGTCAGGGTGATAAAAGTAAAAAACTGGAGCTTAGGACTGCACCATCTCTACAATATAAAAATGCGTGTCCACAAAAGATAGAGAGAATTATGCTAGTAGAGTTCCTGGGATGTCCAAGAGCTGAAAATACAGCAGTGCAGGAACAGAAAAACTCTGTGTCTGCCATGTCAAAATTTCAAGTATCCCATTTTCAAGACACCTGTAATAGAGTAGAGGACCCATTGTCAAGCCAGGTAGTAACTCACCCTGATGATAAATTGCAAAATGATAACATCACCGTCAGAGAAGGGAGAGGAAGCAATGACAGTGACAGCAGGGCAACCAGCCAGGCTGATGAGGAATATTTTACTGATGAGGAAATGGAAACAATATTTCCACTCACCTGCAGTAGTAAATCCAGCGTCAAAGTGACACTGAGGAAAAACAAAAATTTGCATGAAGTTGACACAGGTTGCACTGAAGCAGTTGGTGAACAGATATCTCCTATACATGATATTAATCCACCTGACAGCAAACCCTTGAAAGTTAATGAGAATAAACTGATGCTAGTAAAAGAAAGCACTGAGGATGCTGTTGTGCCTGCTTCTGATCCCTCAGATCATCACAGAGCACACAGTGCAGAGACAGTGTCAAACCAACAACCTGACAGCCACAGCAGTGACGTGGAAACCTCAAATGTTTCAGTTTCAAGTAAAGAAACAGCTAATGTACAGAAAAATCCTCCAGAGGAAACACCAGAGAGCTGTAACATTCCAACAAAGGCTGATGTCTTTTTATGTGTCCCTACTCCTGTGCGCCCGGTGGCAACACCGGATGTTGATGGTCAGTCCACGCTATCAAACAGTAATTTGAAGGACCTTTATGCACTTCATGATGACAAATTGTCACCCTCCTCAGTCCTACCTCCCATTGACAGCACACAGTTGTTAAACATATCCCCTAAAGTGCCTATCAAGACTGCTTGCAGCAGCGCCATCCCAAAACCTATCCTGGTCCACCCCAAGGGCTCCCCCACAGAAAAGGCTGGTGTGGACAGTGACTGCAGTGAAAAGCTGGAAGAAGGCATTGAGATAAAACCTGCCATCCCCCGGCCCAAACCTGTGAGACCTAAAATCATCACGTACATTAGGAGAAACCCTCGCTCAATAGAGCAGCTCGACCCTTTGTTCGCGCCGGCAGGGCTGCCCTTCGACGGCCCCCCGTGCAGCGTGCCCATCTCTGCGGAACAGAAGGCGTCCAACGGAGGAGAGGCAAAGCCCACCAGCATCCTGTATGACAAATTTAAGCCTGACCTCCAGAAGCCAAGACTCTTTGGTTCTGGACTAGTGGTGTCAGGAATTAGGCCGCCAGGTCATCACTTCAGTCCGATGAGCGAGAAGTTTCTGCAGGAGGTAAGTTTCTGCAGCTTAGGCAGCTGCTTTTGTATGCCAGGTGGTGATCATTTGCTTATTTGCTGATGCCAGAAGTTAGTTCTCAAACCTCAAATAAGATAAATCCTAAAACAATGTGTGATCATTAGGAATAAACTGTTTCTGGCACTGACCCTGTTGTGATATCTTAGCTGTTACTGGAAGTTGTCACTGTGTTCTTCCAGTATTTTCCAGAAACTTGGTCACCTGCTAGTATTATAAATAGGGATATTTAGAAAGAAAAATACATGCTGAATTGAATAAAATTTAATAATTTTTTTTTTTTTTTTTTTTTTGCTTCCCAGAGAATAGCTTTGGGAAACGATTATAATTTGCCCATACAGACTTTTCTTTCCTAATGGGAAAGTTGGCAGGATTTTGTAGACAGAGCACTAGAGGTCTAAACTAATTCCATTCTGTTTTGCTGTATGGAAACCTAGGGACTATCAGAACTCTTTGGATTATACATATAATACAAAAGAAGATTTAGTTTTGACTAATTTAATGCTGTTTCTTACACTGACGTGCACCTCAAAAAATATTTCTTTTCTCTGGAAAGCCATCCTGAGCAGCCAAAATGTGATGGAATTCCCTCTAGATGCCTCTGGCTCCAGATATCTCACTGTGTTTCTGCCTTGCTAAACTGGGCAGGAGCCTTGGGTTCCCAAAATCCCCACTGGGAGGTGAGCACAGTGGAGGAAGGATGCTCTTGCTTGGTAGGTAGAGAAAGGACAGGGAAGAGCAAGCTGTGTCATGTGCTCTTGCATCCACTGCTTGGGACCTGTGGTACTTCAACAGCCAAGCTTTTCATATAAACACTAAAGATAACAAAGGTGATTTTATTTGAATGAGTCTTTAAAAAAAGGTATGTTTTTTGCTCTGTGCCTTGTGCTGTTATTAAGGCTATTTTACTCCCTACCTCATTCTACATATGCTATAGATCCAAGAAACAGCATTGAAATAAATTTAGTGGCAGTATTGGCAGTCAAAACCTGGCAAATACCCAAATTATGATACTGTGTGTGAGAGTAGATTGACCCTTATGGCGTATTTACCAGACACCTTCTGAAGTGAGCAAAGATTATAGTTATTTCTCACCACAAACACAGAAAGAACAGTGCTTGCTTTTGTCTTCTGACTTTAACTTCAGTTTTCAGCTCTGTCCCTTATATTTTATGTCCAGAGAATGAATTACTAAAGTAGTTGGGAGATTGTCTGTTCCAGCCATCATTATTATATCTTCACAGTCGCCTTGTAAGGTGAGGGGAAATGGTTGGATTATTACTGTTTAATGCTTGGCAATGGAATGAAAGCTAAAATGACCCAGACTCTGCACAGGCTGTTTGACTGTTTTTAGGTTGGCATGATCCTCTGAAGACCACAGGTGTCTGTGAGAATTGGGGTTCAGATAATCAGGCAGGTTCAGCAGACACATCTGTGACCCAAGGACAGATTTCTGAGCACTGCTGAGGACTGTTTTTAGCACAAGAAGAACTCAGGATGTGGCAAGTCTGCAGTGTGATTTTCTCTAGACTAGGTTTAGAAGTAGGACACTTATGGGCTGCAGAGGATACAAAGCATCTTCCCCTGTTCCTCCAATATGACTTTTGGTGGGTATTTCAGTGGGGGAATATCTGAACCCAAGCAAGCTGCTTCTTCAGAGAATCTGGAGTGACTGGAGAAGAGACTGAGAAAAAAAAGACAAACTTGCACTAGGAGTTTGCATTAGCCCAGGAGTCAGGAGCTAATAGCAGATGGTGGAATCTGCTTTCTTGGACTGCCACCTTAAAAGCAATTACCTGGTTGTCCTGCCAGCTGGAGGAATACAAAGGGGCCTGATTTGGCTCAGAGAAAGGAAAATGATCAGTCCATGGAGGTGAACAGATGCTTAAAAGAGCAGCTGTGCACAGTATGGGCTAGTAGCAGATGAGGGATTTGTAATCCAAAAGAAACCAATTAGGGTGCATTGAAATAGATCAAAATCACTGAGCTGAAGGGAGAGTGTGGAAGACTCAGAGGTTTTGGAGACAATGAGACTGTGGCATGATGGCCGCTGTCTTGGTTATAGAAAAAACATCCTGGACTGACCTATTTCGCACATCCAGTATTGTCTTTGGAGAGCTTTGATTAGCATTTTGTAGCTCCTTATATAGCTGTGACAGTGTTAATAGATGTTGAGTCAAACCTGTAATCTAAGCATCATTCAGCTAAGTGGTAGGAACAATTAAATATTAAATATTACCTCTGGGTGCCAGGCATAGAAGAATTAGGAAGGTGCCATCTCGGACAGGAGACTCCAGGAAAAGGCCTGGAGAATCCTATGAGAAAGACACAAGGGCTGCCTCTGTGCAGTGGGAAGCCTGCAGGGCTTCTTGAGCTGCCTGTGCCAAAGCCCACTCAGGGCAGCTCAGACAAAAATCCCAACTCTAGCATGAAGGCAGTCCAGCTGTGCTGAGGGGTTGGGTCCATAGCAGAGTGGAGTTAAGGCTGAATGGGCAGCCTTGCCTGTGGAATTGGAAGCTCCCCCCAGTGCTTTTCTTTAGAACATTGGCAGAGTGAGTAGATAGATCTTTCATGCCCATCTCCATCAAAAAAGAAAAAAAAAAAAAAGAAAACTTCTCAAGGGGAAATGCAAAATGCTTAAGAAAACCAGTCCTTTTCCAGAGGAGGTCACTGCTGTCCACATCCTTCATCACAACGTGGGCTCCCCATCTCATTGTGGACCTCACCCTCTTCTAGTCAGTGCCAGCAGGTGTTTGTGGGCTCTTTGTTCTCCCTCTTGCCTCTGTGGGAAGTTACAGAGCAAATCAAGTTACAGGGACCCAAAGTCTGTAGCTGTCCTAGTGAACTGAACAGTGGGATGGCATGGCCCCAAGGCTCAGGAGAGGTTGTCTGTACTGCTGGACTGGGAGCATGCTCCAGCTCAGGATCCAGCTCTACCAGAGCGCGCTCACCCAGAGGCTGCTCTCAAGGACCAGCATGGATCAGCCTGGAGTGCAGACTGAGTTTACCTGTACAGGTACAGTCTGTGCACTGTCAGAGAGTGGTCACTGGCCATTTTCTTCACTATTTTATGGCTGCTACCAGGAGCCCTGATCTGGTGAGGGCCTGTAAGGAGGTCTGGTGATCACCAGCTCTCCTGCCTGCCTCACCAAGACTGTGCCAGCCCTGTTCAACCTCCTCTTTGGGTCTGTTCACCAGCACAGACATCATTGTGCTCCAGAGAGGATGGAATAAAGTCTGTTGAAACAAAAAGCCTGCTGAAGTAAAAAGGAGTTAGGGGAGTCGTTTTATATATAGTGAAAACAAAATTTTCTCCCCTTGATCCTGTTATTTGAACTGCCTGAACTGATGTTTCCAACTCTTTTCCCAAACTCTTGCCTGAAGCAGGCACTTGACAAACAAATTATTCCTCGAGGCATTAGTGTTTGATGATGTTATAAACAAAGTAACATGAAGGAAAGCGTTGGGCATCTGTACCTGCTGGCCACGCTGCCAGCTCTGCTCAGGAATACACAGCCTGCGGAAATTCCTGTATTCTCAAAGTATTTGTTGCAAACTTTTCTGGCTCATTCTAACAAATTCATTCATGGGTCTATGGGTAATGAGGAGACAGCCCCACAGAAGAAAACTCTGGGCTGGCCTTCTTGGTGGTCAGGCTGCAATAGATCATTTCCTAGAAGTCCCTCATACAAAAATCCAGTACAGGGTGCTAGCAGGGATCATACTAATCCATATCTTTCTGAAGCACTTTAAAATGGCAATAATTTTATACAATTCTATTGAGACCAGTTGAATTTTACCTTTCACGGACTCACAGTTAAATAGAAAGGAAGAAATAGTGTATCTTCATAACAAGTTTATGTCCTTCAAAACTACGATCTTCAAAAAATAGCATCTGATTCTTGAGAGATATTTGGGCAAATTCAGTTGGACTTAGTTATCTTAAGGGTCTTTTCCAATCTAAATTATTCTATTCTAAGTCCTTCTCACTTCTCTCAGCTTGAGGTTTTATGCTTGTGATCTATTGGTTTTGTGTCCATGTTTGTTGCCTTTCTCTGTTACTCCTAGCATACTGTCAATAAAGAAAAAGAATTGGGGTAAGAGAAGTTTTGAATAAACTGACACGGTTTATTAAAAATGCTTATTTTCTATATGTAAAGATTTTCTCTTTTCCTTACACTGAAATACTTGGCACTGGTGTTTAACTTTCATTTAAATATGAAATGATAGTATGCATATTGTAATCTGATAGAAATAAATTTATCAGGGAGACAGAAGATAACTGAGGCTTATCCACAAAAACAATCTCATGTCTAGAAGCTGAAAGTAAGAAGCTAAACATCTGCAGTCCAAGCCTACAGAATCATTCATACTATACAGCAAAAAACTGCATCCTAACTTAAAATAGGTCACAGGAGTATAATAAAAAAGGAAAGAGAAAGATCTAACGACAGGGAATAGGACTGCAAACAGAGGAAAAAATATAGGGCAAAACTATAAAGCTCAATGTTTGTTGCATCTGCCATCCTAGTTCCTGTGCAAAGGCCTCAAACATTCTATATTTCATAGTTTAAGGCCAACCTTGTCTCTTAGCATATTAAAGATTTGCTAAATTAGGATTAAAGCTCTTGAAGGAGCTAGGATCAAAGCTTTTATAGCCAATGTTGAAGTGCATATTCTAATGCTTATAATTGCTAAATAGAAATTGATTTGGCATATTATATGCATCATAACTTACAGCAGACTTAATTAATTGTCAGTTACATTTCTTCCTAGGTAGCCTGTGGCACTTTTTGATTAATTTTAAAGAAATTTAGTTCAGATTTTCTATTTCCTGTGCTTTTTTTTTCTTTTCCCATGGCCTAAATGGGATGACTGAGAAAATATTCATAGGTCCTTTCTACATTATGATGATACTGCTTTTTATAAGAAAATGGTGAAGAAGTTGGACTCTACTCAGAAGAGCAAACTGTTCTTTGCAAATGTAAGAGATGAAAACTCTGCACTCTTGTCCTGAGTCATGAAGCAGCACAGAAAGATGGGAGTCATAGCCCAGCTTGAATGCACAAAGACGCAAGGGCTGAATCATGGAACCAGGTCATTCCTCGAGTGCAAGCTCAGTGCTATGAGCCAGCTATGAGCTGGAAATACTTGCAGCTTGGGACTCATTCTGCTGTTCTTACAGTAAATGCCCATTAAAATACTGAGAGATTTTTGTCACTGATTTTAACAACGCAGCGTCTATTTGTGATAAATAGTAAATGTTTCACATTTGCAAATCCGATAGTTTTTTTTCTCCAATTCACATGGGCAGATGGGTTTTATAGCTCTGATTTGGAATATTCAACAGGCCTCTGAAAGCATAAGTTAGGGAAGTGTGCTCATGTCCACAACCAGTTGTCTTTCCGGGAACTAGAGAAGGACAGATTACAATGAACATTTTGCAGTGAGAACATACTGTGAGGTTTTTTTTGTCACAGAAATTATTTGGCAGTACAGTTTCTCTGATAAAATGTACCCAAAACACCTCCAGCTTTATTTTTAGCTATCTAAGTTAAAACCAACTTCTCCCAGAATTGGGCAAGGATATTTTAAATAACTTTTAACAAAAGTTCCACTTACACACTCTCTTAGTGTATCTACGTCTGTAAATAATATAGCCTTTCATGACTTAATAGTACCCTCATTTTCATTAATTGAAGGTCTTTCATTTGTCCATTTTCTTTTGGGGAAGGCATCAGTTCTTTATTTGGGTGTAGTTGCATATTGAGAGTGTAATATGCATATCCTTGAAGAGCAGTTCATAACTTTTGGAAAGTTTGCAGTGCTCTGAAGACTAGATTCACAAGAACCTGGGAAATTTAGCCTTTATAAGCAATTTGGAGCTCCATGTTGTCTGGGTTTATTGATTTCTTGTGTAATATCTGTGTTGTTGATTTCTCTGCAGGTTGGGGACAGGCCTGCGAAGGATGAATTTTGCCCTCCACCGTACAGTCACTATGAGGTGCCACCAAGCTTTTACCGATCTGCCATGATCCTGAAGCCACAGTTAGGGCTGGGTGCGGTGTCCAGGTTGCCCTCTGCCAAGAGCAGGATTCTCATTGCCAGTCAAAGATCCTCAGCGAGTTGTCTCCATCAGCAAGGAGAAATAACAAGTGCTCCCAGCCTCTACCATCCTGATGCTTCAGGTAAAGAATGACCTTTCCTTCCTTTCCCTTTACTCCAGTCACCATTAAGATACCTTTTCTTTTTGGAGACAAAAAAATTGCAAAATGAGCAACATTTTGACCTGATACTACAAAGCTCCAACAGCACTCTTTGAGGTGCATCTTTTTATCCTTCAGCAAGGCTGACTAGGGAGTCTGGGACTTGTCCAAAGGTTGTTTAGCAGGTCATTGCCAAAGAAAGAGAATAGTTTTCAAAAATAATTCTCATTTTTCACCTCTTTATCTTCCTCCACCTTGTAAATGCTGAAAAATCTTTGGATTTGTTCTGGGGAAGATAATGGGACATTTTCTTGTGTCATGAAGACCCCCTGTTCAGTCTGGATTTGACATTCCCCACCATGTTGTACTCTGAAAACCTGGACAGTGTTCAAATGTGCCAGCAGAGATCTTGATTCTCTGAAGGCCTGGTGTACACCTCTTTGGAGACAACACTTCTAATACCTTTATCTTCCTAGCTACTGCCCAGCTCAGCATGACCCTGGGCAGAATTACAGGGGAGGGAAAAGCACAAGAAAAGCTGGAAGGAGAAATATCACAAGAAAGAGACAGTAATTACTTCTACAAGACACTCCTTAGTAGCCTGCAAAAGTGTGGAGGTTTAAAAAATGCACATTTCAACAGAAGCAAGTTCAGAGACAACCGAAAATCGGTCATTGCCAGTGAAATGTAGCAGCTGTTTAACAGCCCAGAACACTGCAGAGATTATTAAAAATGGTCATAAGGGCTAAAGTTAATTCATGACTTAAGGTTATATGATCCCTCCTCTTGGCCCCGGATGGGATTCCTTCTGACGTATGCTTATTTAACCTGTTCATGAGAAGCTATTTATAAAAACCTTCAATATGAGATCTTGGAGCCTCTGAAAGCAGGACTACTCCAATGCATTACCTATTTCCAAGTTAAAAGTGTTCCCTTGTGTTTTGCCTAACACCCTTTGTTACACTTTGTTTTTTCTTTCATCTGGAGTGGTTGTGGGGTCTTTTCCCCCTTGCAGGTATTTGAAAACTCTTACTGTGTCTCCCCAGCATCTATTTCTCCATACTGAGAAGCAGGAGAAATTTAGAAAAAATTAGAATGGAAATGCACCAGAGCATCTTGACTTTACCCTGAGAGGACAGCATCAGTAATACAGGTTGACAGGATTTGGGGTTTATCAGAAAATCAAGGTTCTCTGTAATATGGTGCCTCTTGCCAGTCTCCTTTACTATCTGGCCCTGCATCTGGAGTTTATCTTTGCTGATGCTATTAACAGAAGCTGACCAAACTCAGCTGTATGTTACTTCTGAGACTCCCCAGGATTGCAGGCTGGGTTGTAAATACCATTTCAGCCCTGTGACTTGAGTTCAGTCAGCACTGAACATGGGAATCCAGGTGCAGAAAGTAATTGGATCATAATTTCCATTTAAATGAAACTGCAAGAGGGTGTGAGTTCAGGATATGAGTAGGGTAAGCCCTTGTGTTACAGGAACCAGTTTGGGAGATAGATATGAGAGAAAATGCAAACAGGATCCATTTTCAAAGAAATGTTTTTTTCTGAACCTCAGAAATTAATACAGCCTTCATTTTTATTCATCCATCACCTATCCATTTTCTACATTATCCTGCATCATTGATGCTAGCAGACATGACTTTTCTTTAGCCACTTTTAATACATATGGGAGCTTGTCTTGCATGTATTCATTTACTATCTTCCTATGTTATGTGACATTCTACAATCCAAATAGGATCACCCTATCAGTCCCATTTTTTGTTTGTAGTACTGCCTTTAAAAAAAGCCAGTACATGGAATTGTGTATGTAAGTGTCCTGGTTTAAATTGCATGAGCTGTTACTGTGATTCTATTCCACTAAATTTATATTTCTTAACGTTTTCATGTTTCTCAAAAGTGTGGGGTTTTGTTATTTTTTATATTTTTAATTTTTTTTTTTTTTTAATCACAAATTATTTTTTGGACCTTTCCTGCTTTGGAGGTCAAATTTAATTAATGGCTTTCCATAATTTGCTTCCTACAACTGTTGTTTTGCTTGTTTCTCTCTAGTCTATTTATACCTCGCTGTTTCAGAAAGGGTATTAAAGATAACTCCTGGTAGACCAATAATCTGTCTATCATCTCTTTCAGGACCCCAAAGTGTGTCTGATCTGGTATTTGGGCTCTGACTGTTTTTATGGATTTTAAATTACACAGGACTTGTTCTGAAGAGGTTGCTAATGTCTCCAGTTTTTCACTGTCCACCTCAGGACACATTGGTTTCACCTCTGGCATCTCGCCTTCCATTTTCCTTGCAAGATGAAGAATGTGTTTAATTTTTCTGCAATACCTTTTTCTGTTGAAAAGTACTTTTCATTGTTTTCCTTTGGTTTAATGCCTCCTCTTACTTATCTTTCATGTACTTCTGAAATCTTATGTTTGTTTCTTTACATTCATTTATTTTTGGTATTTTATTTCCCAATGATCCATTCAAGATTTTCTTATAATCACCTTTTCCTTGACTAAAACATTTTTCCATGTATGCCTCAAATGACTTAATCTTCCTCTCAGCAATGTATAACTTCATAGGTCAGCTTACCAGACTTTTTGTCTTTAATACTTCCTTTTAAAGAATTTCCTATTAAATTAATTTCCTATTAAATAATTCCTTTCAAGAAGAATGAGTTGCTCATGAAAGAGGCAGAGGTGACAGAAGGTAGGACAAGACTGGTATAGGAGTGCAGAGGCATCAGAGGACTGATTCCTGTGCCTGTATCCACAGCAGAGCACACATGCAGACCAGAGATGTGTTGCTGGTTGCTGTGGAGGGGATGGATGGGACAGCAACCCCTGGCATGCCGGAGGTGTTGGGGTGTTAATTGGAGGGGCTCATAGTAGGTCCAAACACCTTTTATCCATCTGTTTTAAGGTACCAAATGCCATTTTCAACCACTTTCCCTTAATTTGGCTGTTAGCTGTAGTATTATTTGCAGTATATTTGATCTGCATCATTGGTTCTGCTGCACTATTTGAAAAACAAGACTAAACACAGCTTTGATGGAGTCTGCAAACACGAGCAAATGACATGCATGAGCATGTGGTCAGCACCTGGGATGCAGAGCCAGTAAGGCTTGATCATGGGTGTTGTGGGGTGTGAGAGCTAGGGTAGCCTCAGCAAAAGCAGCTAGGGACTAGAGGGGTATTTTTCTGTCAGGGATACCAGGCCTGCCTTCAAGATTGCTAATCAGCATCTCTTGCAGCTTGATCCTGAGCTTTTAATCCAGTTTCCAATCCTAATGATAGCAGTCCTGCCCTGAGGTAACAGAAGGATCTAGCCAGTTGCTATCCCGTGACAAAGTGTGCAGGACTTTTAAACTGAAATCGCTGTGGCACAGTATCGAGGACAGCAGCAGTGCCTCATAATGAGGATTTTATTCCCCTTTGCCATACCATTCATAATACAGCTGTCTGGTTAAGCAGCACTGATAAGCTGAGTGGTTTGGCCCATGTTACAATACTAATCCTCATAAAACTGACTCTGAAATAATTGATAATTAAATCCCTGAACTGCTGTGATGGACTGCAAGTATTATAAGTGCTTTAAAAAGGGTTTTGTTAGTTTTACGTTACGCCAAGTAGAAAGTAAAATAATGATGAGTGCTCCCTCAAGTGAAACCTCTAAGTGATACCTAAAGTGTAGTTAGATCAACAATCCTTCTTCATCAGTAGAGTATAGGACATGTGGTGGCAATGGTAGCATTAAGCAGTGCTGCTCCTTCAGGGATGCTTTGCCTCAGGTGGGTCAGACAAGCAGCCTGACTGTAAGAAAAAGCATTCTGTAAAGTAGGTAAAATAAGAAGTCATTTAATTATGATATAGGTGCCATGGAGTCTCTGAAAGCTTAATATTTGTTTATTTTTATGCAAATAGACTCTGTTCTTTCTATGGGAAACTTGTAATTCAAAACAAGCGTTGAAGCATACTGTGTCTATAACATGTAAAATATTAATATGTTTTCCTTGGTTATAAAGACTTCTTGAAGCAAGTGTGTTAGGATTTGCATTCATTAGCTGATTATTTTGATGGAATTAATGTCTGATTTTGAAAAGTGTAACAGAGATCTCATCATTAAAACTTCACTTTAATTATGCTCATTAATTTAACTTAATTCTACATTTTTCAGCAGTGTTTAGGGTATTTTTTTCTCACATAGAGAGTTAATAAAATGTTACTTCCTTATCACCTCTCTGTGTATTAAACTTGTCAGTCCCGAGGGTCTAGCTGTTCCTCTCATTTCTAAGCAAGTCAGCTTTCATTGAAGTTAGAATTTACCCATAATTCAAGACTGCAATATTTCTCATTCCTTGGACAGACACAGATATATGCATTTATTTGTGTCTTTGCATATGTATAGTGTATTTCATCTCAAATGCCACAACATGTACACAGCTTTCTCCCAGCAGGAAAGCTTTATTTTCATGTTTATTCTCAGGAATAAGCAACCCAAGAGTGGCCTATTAATTGAACATGTAAATTAGATGTGATGATAGAAAAGAGGTTTTGAGGACACTTCCTGAAATGCTGCCTTACTACTACTCCAGCTCTGTCAGTACTTGCAGTCTGAGGTACGTGAGTTTGAACTGGCAAGCTTCTTAAACATTTAAGGAAAGAGGGACAGTGGAATAGTTCGGAGAGGAGAATGTTCTCTGTCCTCCACTAACCTGCAGTGTTGTCAGTTGGCACTCTCTTTTTTCTTCGAGAGTGCAATCTGACTGAATTTCATTTTAAAAAAATAAAAACTAAGTTGCAAAGGGACACACACACTTCCTCATGAGTTTTTTAAGGACATTGTCATCTTACTTGAGATATCACCATCTGCCACCTCTCTGCTCCAGTTACTGTGTCTTCAAGGAACTAAACCTCATCATTTCAGAAGGGTTGTCTCTATGACAGTGGTGCCAAGCTGTCATTAATAAGAACAGTATGTGGAGCAATCTGGGTGTAGGAGCAAGTAAATATTTCCTACCTTGCCTCCTTCCTGGTGAGAGGCAAGGGTTGTCTCTGGCTGGACATCCACAGCCCTTCTGAGCAGCCAGTGAGCAGCAGCTGGACAGATGAGATGAAGCTCCAGTGTAGAGAAGTGTTCTGGCTGCTCTGGGCTGCCAGTGGAAAGTGCAATGAGTGGGACTCACGCACAGATGATTCCTGTGCTGCACGGTTTTTGAGGGATGCCATGCTTTTCACGTTAGCTGCCAAGCGAACACGGACATTTGCAGCTTGAATGAATTGTGACATGACAAGTTCTTGGGGTGTTGAGAATGTGCTAACCAGCCTTGGTTTGCCTGGGAGCTGGGAAGGCACAGAGCAGTTTTTTGGTGCTTTTAAATCTGAATCACAAGGAGGTGAGCATTTCCTACCATATGACGGTGGACTGACCCTTCAGAAATTAATCAATATTCTGCAGTGACAACTGTTTGGCCTTCAGAACTGAACTGTCCTAGACTTGACAGTATTTGGATGAGAGACCATCAGGGCAGCTGGGCCCAAATTGCTCACTGCTGTTTAGGTGTGAATCATTAAAGCCTCTGTTTCAAAGCCCCTTTCCTCAGTTCTTCTTCAGAGGGAAGTTGTTATATCTATACAGGGAAACCACAAAGGTAGTGGCAGACTAGGTATCTCACTTTTGTGATTTGTTTTTAATCTGCAAAGATACCAGTGTTTGGGTTAACTCTGAGCTGGGTTAACTCAGCTTGTATTATCTCTGATGTGGTGACATTGGAGGTAAGTTTTTTACCCCAGATTTCCCAATATGAAATGAGAATAGTGATGTTCAGATTGTCAGTAAGTGAGAGAAAATGACATCTAATGATTAAAGTTTTAACAGAAATGCTGGTTAAAAAAAAATAAAAAATAAAGGGAAAGCAAAGAAAACAAAAAACCCTACCAGATAAAAAACCAGATAACAAAGACTTGCCAAAAGTCCCTGAATTACAGAGTTTTAACATCTTGAACTGCTACACTTCTTCATAAGAAGATATCTGTATAACTCATTTCTTTAATTTTTCATTCATTTCAGCTAAAACATTTTTCAGATTTGACAGAGAAGTTACATGAAAGTTGCTTTTTACCCATGCACGAAGATGCAATTCTGCGTGCAGTGGGGACGCATAAGAAGTGAAGTTCAGACTTTTATTAAGTCTCCCCAGGCACATCTACTTTGTGTCAACTCAAAATGTTTTTATGTTTCTGGATGGGAACAGCTTGAAGTGTCATAGAAAATCACTTGTGTGCATACAGACAACAATACTTAATTCAGGCAGTGAGACAACTAGAAAGATTTTTAAGCTTATTTTGGCAGATTTTTATTAAAATAAAAGCTGCTCATTAAAATAACTTTTGTTTTGAACTCACAGACCTTGTTTGCAGGAGTACTTCTATACTTTTAAGGAACAGAAATAAAGCAAAAAACATGCATGACAAAACTTGATGATGTTTAGAATAGAAAATGCATACAATAGGCTGATGTCTCATGTATTTTAATGAGAAAGAATACACAAAATTACTTAGCTTTAAGGATTTGAATGAATCCCTAATGAGGATAATGTCCTGCCCCCAGGTCCTCATGGTACAGAGGAACTGGATTACAAAGAAGAAAAGTGAAAAATAATTTAAGGATAATGATGAGTTCAAGATGCAAAATATTGTTAGTTCAGAGAGAATTTGAATTGAAGTTATAAACTAGAAACATACAAAAAAAGTATGAGAAAAAAACACTGACTCTTCTGCCCAAGTCTGGAAGAATGACTTTGAAGGAAAAGTAAAGATGGTTGGGCAGTTTGTCACCAAAACCCTTCTGGTTTTAAGGAAATTCTTTCAGTGACACTTGTGCTCAGTTACAGAGCAGAGAGTGTGCAGAGAACAATCAGTCTGGGGGCTTGATGTGGGCATCCCTGTGGTTGAGCTGGGGACCTGGGAGTCCCAGGTGAGCCACACTGCCTTAGGCCATGCATGTCTGAAATGAATAAAGCCATTTCTAACTTTATCCCACTGTCCCAGTGGAATTTCCCCTATTTTGTTGCAGGAGGTCTGTGATATTTATAGTTTGTTGCTGTAAAATGGAAATATCTCTCCCTCCACGTAAGTTTTCTCTAAAGTTTTCAGAGATGCTTTAGAAAAAGAAACCTCAGCTTATGTAGTCTAGGTGCATTTTTTGGAAACCTGTAAAACCCACGAGAGACAGCCCAATACCTTCTCCCTGCTGCCACTGAGCTGGGCAGGTTCCTTGCACCTGCAGCTGCTCACCACAAGTACTTGGCTTCAGACCTGGAGGGTGCCTGGGCTTGGTCCTGTCCCAGATGCAGCACATGGAATATTTTGCAGTGAGTAGGGAAGAAGTCTGGGTGCTTTGCAGCTAACCATAAATTAGCTGTAGTAGGCCACTGTCAAAGCAGCACTGCACAAACCTGGAAAAAACTGAGGGTGACCATCACTGGTTATGTCTTCTCTGTGCTAATGTGCCTGCTCTGCCCTTCACCTGCACCTGGAACCCATGGCTGCCTCTGAGCCCCTCTTCACAGTGTCCAAATGAAGCCACATTCAGGATCATAGTCCAAAATTGCCTCTGCTGGTGCCAGAAAAGTGAATGGGGACTTTAGCAGTCTTCTATTGCTCACTATAGATATTAGTTATTTTTATCTGGGTTACTCTGCACAGCATGTACTTCTCTGGGCTGGCAAAGGTAGACATCCACCTCCTTGAGTCTTAATAAAAGCCTCAGCCTGGGAAAAGTGGGTACAGAAATGCATTTTTAAGAGTCAGGAGTATATAAATTGTTTTATTTGTTGAGCAAGAAGCATTTTTTTACATCTTTATAGGAATGTGTTTCATAGGAGAACAAAACTCTTTTCAGCTTGGTGTTTCACCTATTTCTGTAAAGGCTCAGTTACGTTAAACAAAGCTTAACATTAGTATTGTGATGAGGTACACAAGTATCTTTCAAAATCCCTGTAACATTTTACTGCTCAAAGGAGTTAATCTTGTTTTCTCTAAAGTCTTCTCAAAGTGAAATGCTTCATTAAAATTAATAAGGCTGTGACCTACATAGTTTACAAAAGAATTAAATACTGTAATAATATGACCATATTCTTACTGTGCAGTTAATTTGTATTTTTCTTTATATTATGAATGTTCACTTCTTCCTTTGAAGTTTGTGTCAGGCTAGTGTACAAATAGTGTTCACTGAATAAGAAAGGAGAAAGGGTGACTTTGTGGCCTTTTCTGGCAGAACACATTGATAGCTTTTAATGCTGCCTTGTCTCCTATCCTGCTGGTCCCGCTTAAACACTCTAGCATCAGGTTTTGGGGAGTGTTGTTAATGTTTTTTTTAAAAAATATGCATTTTTGCTGCACAGCATTCCACAAGCAACAGGAATCTGGTATTCTCAAATCTAGGAAGCTTTGTCCAAATTTTTGTATACTTGAGGTCTGGAGTCACTTGGTATTCAGACCTTCCAACCAAAATCTTTGGTCCTTGACCTTGAAGGCAAGACTGCCATGATCATGGACCTTTGGCCTGTGAAGGAAAAGAGGAATATTTAAACCTGTGCTCTGTATTTGCCTAGTAAAATTTACCTGAGCAAGAGCAGCAGAGTAGAGCTTGGGACAGAAGCTGAAGACAGATGAGTGGTTTGTAACCACAGGCAGACACCACAGCTGAACTGCTGCTGTGGTCTAACTTCAGGTGTTAAAAACCTTCTACTGGCACTTGCCTGAGACCTGGTGGATGTCTCTCACATGGGCTGATGTCTTAACAAGGAGAAGTCCATCACTGGAAATGGCCAGTGGTATGTTAAAAAAGTAGGACTTTACAGGTCATGTCCTTGTTCCCAGGCTTGGCACAAGAAAAGGGAAATTTTTTTAGTAGAATTTGAAAGAAATACTTCAAGGAAGTGTTTTCTTTGATGAAATACAAAGAAGTCCTGTGTACTTGAAGAGGATTGTTGCTGATCTACAATACTTTCCAGAATTGGAGGTTATGCATAGCGTGTTTGTCTCTGTGAGTTTTTTTAATTGGCACATAATAAATGCAAAATTAGAAAGTGATACAGCATTGAAGAAGGTAACATTGAAAGAAATTTGTACCAATGTTGGACTATGTTACCTGGCTGGAAGTTTGAGTTATGCCCCATAGGTACTTGACACATTTCACCTTTTAAAAATGATTGTGACTTGTAATTTTTCCACCAAATATCTTTTCAATGCAGCACAGAATAAGACATCATTGCAGTCTGATCAGTCGTTAAAACTTGTGTTCAGTCTTAATGCTGCCTTTATGTAGCTGGGAGATACAGGTAATGGTCAGCACCTCCCAGTTAATTTATTTAACAAAAATTTCATTCTTTTTCCTTCTTTCAGTTGATCTTAAGAAAGGATCATGTCCAAGTGCTGCAAAATCAAATCTCCCCAAGCCCTGCCCATCTGGACTTCGTCCTCCAGGTTATTCACGGTTGCCAGCAGCTAAGCTGGCCGCATTTGGTTTTGTCAGGAGCTCCAGTGTGTCCTCTGTCTCCAGCAACCAGTCAAACGACAGCGCTCAGAGTGACCAGAGCAGGACAACCAACCGTAAGTCCCAAAGGTGTTCTTCTTTCTGGGGGGATAGTGAACATGTGTGTTCCAGGATTGTCCAGACTGTAGTTTCCACATAGTTCAGGACTAATGGAATCTGTGCAGTGCTAGCTAATCTCTTTTGTGCTACTGACTTTGGTTTGGTATCTTGATTGCCCAGTGGTTTAAAAGTAGTAATAATAATTATTAAGTATTAATAAACAATCACTAAATTCTAACAACTATTTAAAATATTAATAGTAACAGATAAATAGGGCCTGAATGGTGAAGAGGTTGTTTCCCTGCTATGGAGAAAATTCCATTAAGAGCGAATCTGAGGCATTCTTTCTTGTATTTTTTTTTTATCTGGAACATCCCTTCCTACAAGCTGAAACTGTAAATAAACAGAGTGAACTGTGTTTGGCAAGTAAATGGCAGCCAATACAGAACAGGACAAATATTATCTAAAATAAGAGATATAGTCTTTTGCATCTAATTTTCTTCTGCTTCTTAATATTCAGTATAATAAATTTAGTTTAGAAAATTGATCAAATAATGCCAGTGATATGAAAGGGGTCAGGACTGATATCATAGTACATCTACCAGACTTTGAACAATCCCTATTTTCTGTAGAGGCTGTTAATTTTGTTAAGTAGAAAATAATACCCACTGGATTGTGCAGTCCTTGGGAAATGTGTTCACTCCCTGGGCTCAGAGCAGAAAGGGGGATTGAGGGATTTTCATGCCCGTTTTTCTTTGAAGACTGGATTGAGCCTAAACTGTGTCAATATCAAAGCAAGTGGTATCAGCCCAGGAGGGAAGCAGTCAGGGCTGCCAGGTGACATGAAGCAGCAGAGGAGACAAGATGCTGCAGGCTCCTGAATCTTTCACTGTTTGTATTAATTTCAAATTAATTGCAATAAATACAATTAATATAGTTTAAAACCCTAAGGATTTTGTCTTTCCCCTTAACATGGGGTGATTGAAATGCAAAAGACTAATGTCTTTAGGGACTTTTAACTTTTCCAATGCTCCCAAGCATGCTTGTATCTTGTTTCACTGTTGGACTGATCACTCATTTTTGGTTTTTTCCTAATAAACTTTACTTTGAGGTTAGCCAACCCCTTTCACTTTGTGCTTTTACCCTACATTTATGCCTTTGGAAAACTTCTCCTTTTATCTGGTGTTGTAATCTTTCAGTCTTTATTTATATAAAACCTGTGTTAAGGACAGAATTACCTGATATCTGATTAGATCTAAACTACGTCTCTGCAAGTAATATTGTTTAGCAGTTTCAGGTGGGAATCTGAAAAAAATGACATCTGTAGGTACAACACTATCCTTGAACACACTGAATGTATACAGGTTCATACAAATCTAAAAACAAAATACTCCAAGCTGCTGAATTTAAATCAATTTATTTATATTTAAAAAAAAACTGTGGAAGAAGCATTAGCAACCTCAGACATAGAAAGTTAAATCTGATTCTCCAGGTCCCTAGAAAGAAATTGATTTCATTTATATATTCTGGTGTATTTTTGTATTATCTTTGTACATTAAGCCCATAAAAAGTGAAACCACAATCCAGTCACTGGAAGGATGTGAAAGCATTTGGTTTCAGCTGACTCAGCTGAGGATGATAGTGCTCTTTAGTGTTGGGATCAGGTTGTTGTGACCAGCTTGTGCATATTTCAAGATCACTTTTGATGGGTATGGAAATTACCCAGGGGAAGTGTTCTGCTTGTACAAATTCATGTAGAGATGAGCTCAGCCCATTACCTGATGAAAAACAGCACCTATAACTTTGCCCTTGCTGCCAAGTTAGATAACTCATGGAAGCTGTTGTCTGGTTTCCCTCCACCTCCATGTGAGAGCAAGAGAATGAGCCCCTCCCAAGTGTCATGCCCTCTCTCCTGTGACATGCTGTCTGGCCCAGAAGTCTGTTCTTTAGTTCCAAAAGGATAATGCTTCATCCTGGACAAAGGTGAGGGAAGGAGAAGGTGTGCTGCCAAGCAGGTGAGGGCACATCTGGTGCCAGCCCTTGGTAAGTCATGAAACAAGGTGACACCTAACATCACCTGCTTGCTTTGGACTCCTGTTCATGGGCCAGATAGGCAGGATGAAAAAATGTTTCCTTACTGTTAGTTTATTAACTTTCATAGAAATGTTATTGGTATGAAACTCTACCTTCTTTTTCTATTTATAGTCTATGTGCCAGCAAGAGTTAAATTAGTTGCCCAGCACCCAGGGAGCACAAATTAGTTGCTTTCCGTTCTACCGCTGCTTATTTAACACAGAGCAGCAGTGCACTTCAACATGCACAGAAAGGATGTAGGGGAGAAGTATTAGCTCAGGAATCTTAGCATGACATATTATTTCATCCCTTCACTGTCTGCTGGAAGAACAGTTTTATTTAAATTAAATAAATAGCTGATTCTGTAGCTACTACCTGAGATCGTGTCTTTGACTAAATCAGGTCTCCTGGAGGGCAAGAAAAAGTTTTACTGTTAATTTCCTAGCTCAGTAGGGCAGAAAAATGCAAAATTATCTAGCTTTAGAAGTCTTCAAACACGCATAACACAATTTTCTATTTAAGCAGCATCTCTGCATGTCACAGAGACAAAAGTAGTTGATAATATCTTACAAGTGTGAATTTGTTATAAATAGAGGAGCTGCTACTGTTGTAAATCAAGGGGCTCGTTTCAAAATCATGACATATTGTAGGTTACTAAAAAGCCAATGACTGTGGCAGGTGAGATGAAAACACTGGTTTATTTTAGGGATGGAGTGTTTTAGGATAAACAGTGATTCTTTAAGGGACCCTGGTGAGATCCTGTTCTTGCTTTTCTCTCCTCTGCCAGATGTCTTGTGGTGCTAGTTCTGCCTAATCACATTTCTTTTCAGAAGTCCCAGCTAGTGTCTCTGTCTAGGGAGTAAAGCCCTCTTGTTTAGAATAAGGAGACATGATGTTTGTGTTGAGGGGAAGTTTGTTAATGGAGCTGCGATGTGGAAGTTTTGCTCTTCACCAGATTTCTCCCTTCCTGTGACCCCTCTAAAAGCAGTAAGCCTGGATGTGCACGGAGCCTGTGCTGTGCTTCTTGGTTAACTTCCTGGCAATACCTCACCCATTCAGATGGACTCAATTAACTGGATTTGAAGCGGAGGGACTGTTCTCTTTTCCCATGGTGAGACAGGATACACTGCTCAGTACTCGTCTGCTTGTCCTCGGGTCTTTCCTGGAGTTCCATCCCGGGATTCTGACTATCAGCCAGGCTCCTCTTTGCCAATAGCATGCCAACAGCAACAGTCTTGCCACCAGCTGCTAACCAGGATCAGTTGCAACAGGGCCCTGCTCCTATGAGGTGCTGCCCTATCTTGTGTTGAGACTGAAGGGGCAGCTCTGGGAAAGCCCAGGTTGAGGTTCGGCTCCAGGTCCTTCTGTGTGTACTCCACAGATCTGTTCTGTGCCACAGATAGATTTGTCCACTAATATTCTTGTTCAAGATTACCTGAAAAATTCAAATTTAGCCCCGTCTCTGGTGTACTACTTTTAAGGTTTTCAAAAAATGCCTGATATTTTAAACCATTATTCTTTATTTAGAAAAAGGGGGTTTTGTATGTCTAAAAACCTATTGTTTGTTTATGGTCTAAATTGACTGGAATTGAAAAATTGAGATACTTCAGTCTTAGAGGAGTGTGAATGTATTCTGCAAGATATGAGAAAAAGTGAATGACAAGAAAGTCATGTTAAAGTTGAAACCACTATGATTTGGAGTAGAGAGAAACAATTGTGTAAACAGAAAGAAAAACTTCCAATTTAAACAACTTATAACTTTAGTAATAACTAAAGTTATAAATAACAAAAAGTATAACTTTTTGTATTAGTAAAATACTTTACTAATACAAAATACTTTGTGTATTTTCCTTTGGAATTTTAAATGCACTGTATGGAAGCTCTCCCTCTGTCTGCCCCAATAAAACTTGCATGAGAGGTTCATGTCATCCACCAAAGGCCCACAGCTGTGGTTCCCAGTACAAGATTCCCAGTATTACCTTGTGATTCTGCAGTGAGGTTACACCATCCTCAGAGTGTACATTCTGGTTTACTTCTGTTTTACTGGTTTAAGGGGCTTAGAGTCCTCTCGCTTGTATCTGCATTTTGAGTGGTCAGCTGAATGTCCTGCTCACACAATTAGCTCTGCGTGCTTCATCAGCATAGACTCTAACTTGCTGCAAGTGCCACGAGGGAAGGAGTTTGTCAAGCACTGTGGAAGAATGTGATGTGTGGGGGATTGGAAGAAGGGTGGATTGTTTTGAATGAGTTAAGGTATGCTAAGTGCTGTGAGTTCCAATTGAAGAATGTCAGTATAATGTTGGGAAATACTTCATAGTCATAAGGTCTACTAGTCTGTTAAATAATCTTCCAACTCAAGTAATGAAATCTCTTTTGCTTAAGATTCTTTAAATAGAACAATAGCACAGTGTTAGAGGCAATTCTTCTCTGTCGACGTGCTAGACTAAAAGACATAATGCTATTCAATACCTACCCACAGCTCTGAGTGCTGAAGCAATTTTTTTTGAGACTGAACAAGAAAATGGTGATGAATATTTCAAAACTTGTTTTAGTATCTCATGACAGCTATTGTTTTGTTAAAAATTACAGAAAAATGAAACTGCATGTCTTATTGATGTAAACCTCCATGATCCTTCCTTCAGTATATATATTTCTCACTGGTTTTCGACCTTGCATTGCTTGATCTTGCTACATGTTGAATTTCCATTCTAACAAACAAAAATGTCAAAGTGTCAGATTCAGGTGGGTGGAGAAATGAAGAAATTAGAGTGAGCACAGAAGCCTAGAATAGATCCTAATTGCCTCCAAAATGGGTAAAACGTTCAAAATTGTCACATGGTAGACAGGTATACCAGTTGTTCTTAAATACATAAGTATTATGTAAATATGAATTTTCCTGCATGAAAATACTTTCCAATCATATTTCTATGACTGATTTTCTGTT